CTCGGCGGCGCGCGCCAGGCCCTGGCGGCTCTCCTGCAGCTGGCTCTCCGAGTGCACGATCTTGACGGGCACCATCTTCACGGTGGTGTTGTTGTCCACCACCCGCTCGATCCTGGAAAGGGGGACGCATCCGTCGCCACAGCACCAAGCGCAGCCGCCCCTGGAGCGGATGGCTGACCCCTCCCCCCCCCCGGGCGCGCACCTCCGAGCTCACCAGCCTGCCCCGAGGGACAGGAAGTTGAGGGGCTCCCGGTCACCCCCACGTGGGCACCCCGGCCATGCCGCTTCAAATTGTGACCCAGCAAGGCAGAGGCATGAGGACACGATGCTGGCACCTAATGCCAGGGGCGGGTGCCCGGCAGGTCCTGTTGTTCTTTTTTTTTTTGTAGGGGATGTGGAGGGGGTGTGGGTGTTTCCCAGATTTATCTTAAGCGCCCAGCTGCTGCTGGGGTGGGGGCGGGTCCTGCGGACCCAGGGGAGGACATCTCCAGTGAGCGCCCCGTTTGGGGTGCACGGGAAGGCTTCTCCCCGGCCCCACGCAGGGGCCTCCGCTGCTGTGCGGTGTCCCCCAGCACCGCAGCCACTGCTGAAGGCTGCCCTGACCCCGCGCTCCGCGGATGCCGGGGGGCTCTGCTGCCGTCACGGGGGGGCGTGCAGGCGGCAGTGGGGAACAGGTGGCCTCTCTCCTCGCCTCCCACAGACACCACGAAGGGTGGCTGCGTCCTGACTGCCGGCGTGTGGCCCCATGCAACCCGTTTGCGAATAAAGTCAAACCCAGCTGTGCAGAAGACTCGTGCAGGCACGCTGGACTCAAGGGACGTGCTGGCCATCGCGCCTGGACACACGCCCCCTCCCTGGCTCTCGGCCACACCTCGCAACCCACCTGCCAGCGACTCCCAGGTCAACCTGTCCTGACCTCGTCTGCTATTCCGGGAGAAGCTCGGCTCCAGGAAGGAGCGAAGGCAAGAACACAGACACCAAGCTGCCCAGGACGTGCAGTTCGCAGCGAGGGCTCCCTCAGCACACGCGGCCTCTCCTGCCTTCCCTAGCTCCGGACATCACATCTTAAACCGTGAGCTGCGATCCCTCAAAACGCCAGCAGCACCCAGCGGGGGAAGCTTCATCGCCCTCGCCAGCTCCTGAAGGTCAGCACCAGGGAGGGACGGAGAGGTGGCCAGCCCCGTCTGCAGCCCTCTGGAGGCGCCTGCGTGCCAACCCCAGCAGGGGAGGTGCCCGGTGCCCAGCGCCAAGCAGCTCACGGGCACCCCCTGGTGGCCACATCTGGAAGTACAGGGCGCCAGTGGGAAGGTCCCCTGGGTCTCCACCCCACCAGCTGCAGAAGCAAATTCACCCTCCAGGTGAGCACCCCAGAATGTCTGCAGGCCTGGCTAGCTGTCTCGGGGGTGGGGGCCAAAACGGCCGGGCCCGGGTTGAGAGTCACCGCATTAGAGGATGACATGAAAACCTGGGCCCTCCCTGGTGGCTCACGGAGTGAAAGCACAGCACTGGGAAGCTGCTGGCAGCCGCTTGGGTGTGAGTTCGATCCCGGAGCAGGGAGTGACCCCCTGAAGGGTGCGGCAGACCTCTCCTGTCGTCCCTCCGCTCCCCTCAGCAGTGCACTTCGTCAGCCTGCCTGTTCTGCACCCGCTCTGTCTCTAGGGAGTCCACTCACCCCCTGCACCTCTGGCTTGTACTCCGTGCTGTGTGTATAAGTAAATAAATCTTTTAAAAAAAAAAGAAAATTCGGCACCTTCCACGTCCCCGCACTCCAAGATAGTCGGAGAGGTAGTGCAGAAGACTCAAGGGCCAGGTCTGGAGCGGCCAGGTCTCCCTGGCAGGCACTATCAACAGTTCCAGCCGCGAGGGACAGGAAGTTGAGGCCCTGGAGGTGGGGGGGCCCTGCAGACTGGGGAGGACAGCTATCTACAGTGAGCACCCCGCTTGGGGTGCATGGGGGAGGGCCGGGGAAGCTGAGGTGCTCCCACCCAAGAACGGGTGGCCTGGCCTCCTGCTTCACTCAAACAGGCACGCCAATTTAGCTCTTTAACATAAAGCGACCCGGGGGAAGAGGAGGGTGAAAGTCTGGACACCAGGAAAACATGTCCACGTGCGGCCTCACCGGCTAATCAGCGCCACTCCCAGTACAGACGGCCCGTGCTGGGGCGCGCGGGCCTGGCCGCAGCAGCGTCGACCGGGAAGGGATCAGGCTGGGCCCGGGGACAGGTGCACCCACACCTCTCCTCACCCCGTGGGAAAGGCTGGTCCCTCGCGCAGGAGAAGAGGCGGCTGCAGGCTCGGCCCAGCCCGGGGCCACGCAAACATCCAAACAGGCGCCTTTCAGGTGTCCCCTCCCCCGCCCCCCAGATGCCGAGGAAGGGGCTGGGCACGGCCGACGTGCCCCAGCTACCCGCACGGGACAGTACCTGGTAGCATTCTCATCCTGGATGAGCAGGGGAGGCTTGTCCGTCAGCTTCTGGGGCGCGAACTGCGGTGAGGGCGAGCGGGAGGTCTCCATGGCTGCGTGCGGGGGCCGGCTGGGGGCAGGGAGCGGGGCTTCCTGGCAGGCGGCGCGCGCCCCTACATGGCCGTCCGCCGAGGACACAGACAGGCGGTCCAGGCACACGTCCAGGGCCCCCGGCGACGGCGTGGGCAGGGGCCTGCCAGGTGCGGCCAGGTGAGTTAGCCCAGGCGCGCCCGCCGGGCCCCTGAACGGCCTGGGCTCGCGCCGGGGTGGCGGAGGCCTCTGCGGGGCCGGCCTCTTGGTGAGCGGCACCAGCGAGGGGTCTGCCGGCACGAGCTCCGCTGAGAATCTGCAATCGCGAGGGAGGGCGCCCGCCCCACCGCAGCCGTCAGGGGGCCCCTCTGCGGCTCCCCGGGCAGCGGCCGCTTCAGAGGCCGGGCACGGGTTCCACGCCTCGCTGCTCTGTGCTCCCGCAGCGTGGCCACTGCCAGCGTCGGCTGGTCTAGGAGGAGAACACACGCAGGTGAGAGGGAGCCGGCCCCATTGGCACCTGCACCCCAGGACTGAAACCCCCTCCAGCCCACGTCCGTTTCCCACGCTCGTCCCACCAAATCCTGAATCGCGCCGGGCGACACCGGACGGCCGTGAGTGACCGCACGCGGATACGCACAACATGGCCACAGTTCTGGGCTTGCTTGGGGGAGCTGCCGGCACAGAGGCTTAGAACTGAGATGGGCAAATCAGTTCATTAGTGAAACCCGAGTCGGGGTGCATCCCGGGACACTCCCCCCACCGCGCCCCGGCAGGACAATGTTCTGCCCACAGCCCGCTGGACATGACCTCCGTTCTGGAAGGCGCCAGGGGCCCTCCGTGCAGCCACGGGCAGCAGCAAGGTCAGCCAATGCGTGTCCTGTGGACACCGGCCAGGGCTCTCTGTCCAGCTGGGGGCTGCCCGGCGCGCACAGCGAGAGGCTGAGGATGGAAACCGAACAAGCCAGAGAGCACCGGGCCACATCACAGGCTCCGGCACCCCACTCTGCTCCTGACGTGTGGCGGACGGAGCGCCCCAAGAGGCACAGGCCGGTCACACTCCGTGGCGCCCCACCGCCCCTCTCCGGCCAGAATAAGCCTGCCCCGCGCAGGGGACAGGCCAGCTCCTCACTGGTCGGGTTTCGAAGCTTTTCCACGAGAAAGAGCTCCCCAAATGCGCACAACGCCGGCACGCAGCAGTCAACTGGTATTCACCTGTTCTTTGCACCCCCCCCCCCAGCTGCGTGCCCTCAGAAATGGGTGCGAGAGAAATTGGGGAGGCTTAAATCCCAGCTGCCCTCGAACTGACTGGGTCAGACGGCAGCCCCGGGCCGGCGCGAAGGGCGAGGCAGTGGGGGTGTCGGGGTGCCAGGCCTCTGCTGGGGTCTCACTGACCAGCACCCCCGGGCCCCACTTCTCGCCCCTCATTCGCTGCCCACCGGCTTTGGACGGTAAAGGCTGCCCGGATGCGCTGATCCTTGGCTGGGCAAGTCCCTCCAAAGGAGGCGATCATCTTCTGAGAAAAATGGGGAGCCTCTGGGCCGCCGTGCAAACACGGGGGCTGCCCCGGCCGCCCCGTGCAGGAAGCCCCCCGCCAGCGGCCTCCAAGCCAGGGCGCCCCCCCCCGCCCCCCACGCTGAAGGTTTGGTCTGCCCGGCAACTTCCCTCTGCAGCCAGCTGCTGCAGAGTTTGGCATCTCGGTGGCAACCACGGGACGTGGTGGTGCGGGGGCCACAGACTGAATCGGATACGAGGGCAAAAGCTACCTCTGAGCCCTGTGGCCACGAGACGCGTGGGCGGCTGTGCATAAGCTGTCACGAGGAGACGGCTGCTGTGACAGAGCGTGGGGACGGCCGCAGGATGTGCCAGTTTCTAGAACGTCCTTCCACGGTGCAAGCCTTGTGGCGCTTTTGATGAGTGTGGTAAGAGCCACCCAGGCTCTGGCACACTCCCTGTGGCCTCCTCTGGGGCCTCCTCGTGTCTGGGGGCCTCCTGTGGCCTCCTCTAGGACGTCCTCTGGCCTCCAGGATACCCCCTGGTCTCCTACCTCCTCTGGTCTCTACTATCTTCCCTGGCTTCCGGCAGGACCTTCCCTGACCTCCACTGTCTCCCCTGGCCACCTCCACTGCCTCCCCCGGCCATGTCCACTGCCTCCCCTGGACTCCACTACCTCCTGCCCTCCACTACTACCTCCCCTGGCCTCCACTACCTCCCCTGGCCTCCACTACCTCCTCTGGCCTCCACTGCCTCCTCTGGCCTCCACTGCCTGCTCTGGCCTCCTCCACTGCCTCCCCTGGCATCCACTGTCTCCTGGCCTCCTCCACTACCTCCCCTGCCTCCCCTGGCCTCCTCCACTGCCTCCTCTGGCCTCCACTACCTCCCCTGGCCTCCATTGCCTCCTCTAGCCTCCACTGCCTCCTCTGGCCTCCTCCACT